TTCAATAACTTTTACTCCGCTTAACTTCAAAGGCCGAAGAACCCCTACTTTTTTAAGTCAAGGCAAGCTCTATAAAATGACATCAATTATGTTTGAATATTTGATTTGTATAAAAAACGTTTGGAATGAAACTTGAGAGAATCGTTACTGTTGTTTTTTTTTATAATTTGTTATGTGATGGAAAGTGATCGCGCCATTGTGCTATTTATTTTTCTTAAAATGTTGTTAATTTGATGCCATTTTCTGTACTTTCGTGGGAGGTGTTCCAATTTGATAAAAAGAACTTAAAACCTAGTTAAAAACTATGTCTTGTAAAGCTTAGATTAATATATAACTTGCAACCTGCGGTTTGTTGCAGTTTAGAGACAAAACATATTCCTTTAAATATATTAATTGTTTCAGTACCAAGACTTTAACAGTGGCGTAGATACTGTTTTTTAGTGTTTAATATAGCTAACTTATGGACATCATACAGCAAATATATGGAAACTGACAAATGCAAAAGTATTACATATATCTAAATCCTTGAAATAATTACAAAATAAAATATATCTAAGGAAGAAACAATCATCAAACTTACCTTCAAAAGCAAGACTTTTACTGCAAAGTTGCATTTAAAATGTGGTGGCTATGATTCACAATGATCACTGACATGCATGTAGAAATATTTTTTAAGTCAACTTCGTTTTTTTTCAATTATCTTTTACAATGTCGAAATGTAATAAATGTACAAAAGGATCAAATTGTAACAAAACTTGACTTGCTATCCCAAACAGTTGTTTTAAAGGACATTACTGTCCAGAAGGAACATCAGTTTCTATACCCTGTCCTGCTGATACTTACAATGATGTCAAATCAAAAGGAGCCATTGAAGATTGAAAAATTATGTTTCTGGTAAATCTAGTAAAGGTTATTATTGTCAATCTAAATCTCAAGTTTCTAATCCGGTAGTTAAAAATAAAAATAAGGAAAAAATATTTTTTTAACATGAAATATTTCTTCAAAATAGGATTTAATAATTTTAATGATTATAAAAGTTTGTTATAAAGCGGAAAATTTAAAGTGAATTTCCCAAATTATAAAATCTTAACCTGAAAAAATTGACAGTAGAACTTTGCAAACGGAGTGTATTAAGATTGTGGTGGAATTTGTTGCAAAGGACATTACTGATTATAAAGAACATCATATCTAAAAAAATATCAATGCAAACCAGAATCGTACAATTAATTACCTGGTGCAAACAATGAATTATTCTGTTTAGAATGTATTCCTAGGCAGTATTGTTTAACTGCAGGTCTAGAGCAACCTACAGGTAATTGTTCAGCTGGATATTTTTGTAAAAAAGATTCACAAACACCCGAGCCAAAAGATGATAAACAAAAGATGATAAACATATATGTCTAAATGGAAAGTTTGTTCTGTTGGATTGTCTGAACCAAAATATGTCCTGAGGGATCATACAAGTATATTATTTGGTAAAAATGGAGTGGATATAGTTGAGTTCAACAATAATAATTATTCAGATAAGTTGTCTTCCGAATTAATATTTGATGAGAGTAACAGAGCTTTCAAATCTGTTAACGAAATAACGCAATTAGAGGAGAACCAATTTATGCAAACGTGTTTATTGCTTAATTGCTTGGACAATTTAAAAATATTCTTTTTAAAGTCTTTAGAAGTTCTATTCATCAAAAAGTTTACCAGGACAAATAAAAATTGCAAAATTTATTCCTAATTTTAAAGGAGGCAAATCTGATTTAAGTAACTATCGACCCATCATGTATATGAATAAGTAATACTTACTCGTATTCAAGGGTTCGAATGTTGTTATAAGTTTTAATAAATGTAACTAGAATAAGCACTTTATAAAGTCTTTATTTAATTTTTGGATGATGTGCCATGCCTTTAAATCACAAACAACATTTTTTTCCGAAAAGTTTTTTTATTAATTTTCGTTATCTGAAAATTCTTTCACTGATTTCCTTTTTTGGAGCGTAAAATTCATTTAACCAGCGAAGAGTTTTAAACAAGTTGCATAACATGATTTTGTAAAAGGAAAGAGTGTGCTGCAAATAAAAGTTGTCCTCTAGCCGTTTTTAAAACAAATAATTAGTACATGTTATTTTAGAGTATTTAGAGATTGGAAAATCCAATGCGTGATATAAGTCATAGCATGTTATCTTAGTTATACTTTGAAAATCACAGATAAAAAAAAAAGAAAATTTTTATGAAATTTTTTTTTGGGCACTATAACTAATAATTACCACAATTTGCCATGTGCTGTCTTATATTTATTTAAGCTATATGAAGCTTAATATCTAATTCATGGGTTCCATCTTTTCACTTCTCCTTAAAATAAAGCAGAGTTATTCGCAATAAAATCTTATTCTACTATATTTTATTATATAATTTCTATACTCTTCCAGACAGCTAAGCAGATTAAATTCTGGGTATTGATCAAAACCATATATTCAGATGTTAAATTATTTTATAAACAGTTAGCAAACTGTACAGATGTTTAGACTTACTTATTGAACTGTTTAAAGCAATCATATAATCTTCTCTTTTAGTCAACAACGCTGAAAAATATTCCAAAAAAAAGATATATGACACTTTTCTGAGAACTAAGAAACTTGACAACATTCGCCCTTTCTTTAAACACCTAAAGCAATTGGTCAATTCTAAAAAACGTTAACATATGATTTAGATTTTAGAAATATAATATAATCTCTAAAACAAACATTAATTAAAATTTGTTTCTTAAATAAACTTTTTTTTGGTGTAGTTGTTGATGTTGTCCCTAAACTATGACTAGCCTTGGTTTTAAGCCACTTCTTTCTAGGTTAAAAGTTAGCCACCTCTAACCAAATGCGGAGCTTTTTTTTTCATACCATTTTCTCGATGATATAATTGGCCATGCTTTGAAATCATGTCATGCTTTTAAATCGCAAACAACATTTTTTTTTCGAAAGGTTTCTTCGTTAAATTTCATAATCTAAAAATTCATAACTGAACCCCTTTTTGGAGCATCAATTTCAATTAACCAGCACAGAGTTTTATAACGAGGTACATAACATAGTTTTGTTATCAACTATGTAGCATAAATAGCATTTAACTAATAGCATTTAATATAGTAACATTACTACTTATACATTGTTATAACAATTTACATAAAAATGCAGACCTAGCTTTAAAAAAAAACGGCTAAGCACATTTTATTTATGGACATCAACATTTTTTAAGTACCACAATAAAGTAAACTACTGCAATACAAGCTTTATTTACTAGTTAATAAAAATAATTCTTTAAAATTAGCAAAATGTAAACATTTAAAAAGTAACACTTCAAAATAGTATTTTTTTTTTAACGTTATTTTTTAAATGTATTTTAAGTGTATTTTTTAAATGCTGGTGTTGACAAGACAGCGCCAACAGGAGAATGTGATGCTGTTTATTTTTTTGCAAAGAAGCTTCATTTAGGTTAGTATTATTTAATGTTTATGCCAGAATAAAACATATATATATATATATATATATATATATATATATATATATATATATATATATATATATATATATATATATATATATATATATATATATATATATATATATATATATGTATATATATATATATATATATATATATATATATATATATATATATATATATATATATATATATGTTTTATTCAATTATCTTCTACAATGTCGAAACGTGATAAATGTAAAAAAGGATCATATTGTAACAAACCTAGACTTGCTAATTTTAAAGAAGGAGACAAATCTGATTTAAGTAACTATCGACCCATCATGAATAAAAATAAGTAATTCATATTCATATTCATGGATTCAAATGTTATTATAAGTTTTAATAAACGTAACTAAAATATGCACTTTATAAGGTCTTTATTAAATTTTTTCGGAGGATTTGCCATGCTTTAAAATCATAAGCCATGCTTTTAAATCGCAAACAACATTTATTTTCGAAAAGTTTTTTTATTAATTTTCGTTATCTTAAAATTCTTAACTGAACCGCTTTCTGGAGCATCAAATTCATTTAACCTGCGAAGAGTTTTATAAGGAGGTGCATAACGTGATTTTGTTTTCAAGTTGTTAAATACTATTTAACATAGTAACATAGTCTAAGTTACTATATAGGAATGTTACATGAAGTTTTTAAAGCAATGAAAAACTAGAATATTATTTACTATATGCTATATAATT